TCACTGTATATCCTTCGGTTATTTTCACACTTAATTATGCCCATTAAAATGTATTTTACAAGTTTTTGTTACTTTCAGAAATTTTGCAGAAATACTCAAGCAAGCGAAACACGCGCAACGCCTGCACGTATTTGTACTGATGCAGAATAGTACAGCCTAGTGCATTTCACACAGGCTGCTAGATTCACTTTCGCCAGAAAGTCGTGTATGCCTAAGGTTAAAAATAAATTACGTTTATAGTGAATGCCCCTATAATTGGTCTTATTTTTACGATTTAGTTTTAATCCAAATGATGCGTGTGCTAAGTGAGTGAACATCAAAGATCACACAACAGAATTGCTCTCTCCCTCTCTCTCTCCCTCTCTCTCTTTCTCGCTCTCTCTCTCTCTCTCTCCCTACCGTTAAGTAACTTGTGGGCGGTGCATCCCTAGTACATTTCTTCCCCTCTCACTCTTCCCTTGCGGAAATTATCTTATACATTTAGACAGCTTTTATAATGAAGAGAACATAGAGGACATAAAAGCAGCAATTTTATGGCAAGTGTACAATTGAAGCTTGCCATCAACAATCACACTCAATGTACATGGATACCGGAGAGAATATTTCAAGTTCAGTTTACGTAGTCACCGTCTGACTTTATCAAAACTACGACGCCTCTTTAAAGGAGACATATTATGCCCCATTTTACAATATGTCTCAGGTGTCCCCAGAATGTATCTGTGAAGTTTCCACTCATAATACTCCACAGATAATTTATAATATCATTTTGAAAATGCCTATTTTGAGTGGATGCAGAAACACGCTCTTTTTCGGGTCTGTCTCTTTAAATGCAAATGAGCTGCTGCTCCCCGCCCCCTTTTCCAGAATAGAGTTGTGCCCTTACAGCTCATACCTGCTAAAAACATCTGTTTTGGTTCTGATTATCATGTTTATCGCGCTGAAATCATGCGTTAAACACACATGAGTTACAAAAAACAGTCGGTTATGTCTGTGAAGGTAAACTGCTGGGAAATAAATCGCATGTTTATTTTAGATCTGTGTGGCAGCAGCAATATACAGTAAATAAATCAATAAATGCACTGCTCTGTTGTCTCCTCTGAGGCTGGGACTCTAAACAGTGTTCTGTGCTCGTCTGTGCAGCCAAAGACAGAACAGTTAGCATGTTTTGCTCAAACTTTCACCATGTCATTAGAGCTGGTACACCGTTGTCACTTGTGAAATCAAAATGACGGCGCCGTGGGTGTAAACTTACAGATTAAAGGGCGGTAATATTATAATGAGATCCCTTTGTCACGTCACTAGGGGAGTGAAATCAGACGCACTCGTTTTCTCAGATGCTTGCAGAAAAAGGCTTACCAAAACAAAGTTACTGGGTTAATCCTTTTCACGTTTCCTTAGTTGGTAGATGCACCGGGGACCTGATTATAGCACTTAAAACCTGGAAAAGTCAGATTTTCATGATATGTCACCTTTAAGAGTTCCGCACTGAAATCAGGATAAATGTAAGTTCGAGTACCTTCAAACACCAACTCCTTCTTCTCTCTGGCAAGATGAAGAAACTTTACCTTGTCCTGAAAATTGGAAAGTTTGATCAGGATAGGCCTTGAACCAGCTCTGTCGTTGTTCCGAAACAAAGGGTTGCGATGCGCCCTCTCAATAGCGGGAAATGCAGGAAAGTTTTCTCGCCCAAATAGTTGCAGGATTAGCTGAGCCATGAAACCAAGAATATCGCGGCCCTCTGAAGATTCTGGAATCCCAACAAAAAGCGAAGATTAGAAGCACTGCTGCGATTTTCCAAGTCTTGGACCTTATCCATCAGGTGAGCACTATCTTTGGTTAGATCGTTAATCTGTGTCGAAAGATCTTGTAGATTATCCTCATTGGCGCCGATACGTTGTTCAAGTGACACAACATGTTCCCCAACAGTATTCAAAGACATTTGTGTACTGCTCAGTTTTGTTTGAATGGGATCGACTTTAGAATCAGCATCTCAGTCTTAATCAGTTGTATTCTGTCCCATAAAGTTTGCAAGGAGATCTGGTCTTGTTTACTCAGAGCCATTATATTCAATATTATCCAGTCTATATCATGAAAATATGACTAGACTGATAGGCGATTATGGCATGTTATATACAAAAAAGCAGTAGGCTAAATAGGGCATAGCGCAAATAAAGCAACTCAAACAGACTCTGCGACACACACTCACGCTGCGGCCATCTTCAATATTTAGGAATGTATATATCAAAAAAACTTGTCAGTTAGGCAGCAGCTTAATTTTTATAACAAGATTAAGAAAAAAAAAAGATTTTCGACAATTGTTTAAGAAGAGATTTATCTATTTTAGGCAAAAATGTATTAACAAAGGTACAAGGTTTATCCAGATTGAAAATTTGGAATAACGAAATTTGGAATAAAGGCAAGAGTATATTTTTGGAGAAATGGTTGGCTCACGGATGTACAACTTACCTATAAAATTTAAAGAATTTTCTGTAGTAATCAAAGTTATTGCCTCTGGGCTTATTAATTTAATGTGCAGCCACCTGACTTATTATAAAGTTGACAATAAAGATTGTAATTTCCTTATAAATGGTAAAAATTTATTTGATAAAATACGCACTAACAAAGATATTAAGTCACAGAAGAGGAGCAGCGCCAGATGCCCAATATCAAATCACACAATTAGTCCGGTGCATAGATCCAAAAAACATGAAGCCAGCAAAAATTAAAATCTGCACACAGTTATATGCAGGGCTTACTTTTGGAGGTCCCGGAAAAAGACCATTACGTTCGACAAGAAGGAGAACATTTGTTCATACACATTTTCAACACTCTTGAACATTTGTCGAAGAAAACTGATGTGATTTGGAAACCGGCTGATAAGGGTGGAGGGTTGGTATTGTTTAATAAGGAATATTATATAGCAGAAGTTAAATTACAATTGTCCAATGAGACCTGTTACATGAAGTTAGATCGTGATCCCACTATTAATTTTAAGGTGGAGGTGGATAAGTTCCGTGAGGAATCATATCAAAAGGGATGTATAAATCAGTTTTAACGAAAGATTGTCCTGTCACTCCCGTAATTTATACGCCTGGTCACCCTATTGTGGCATCGAATGATTGCCTGTTAGAACCTGTCTCAATATGTAGATCGGATTTTGAGACCATTAGTTGAGAATCTTCCATCGTATTTAAAGGACATGGGTGACTTTCTAAAGCAGTTGAATATCATACATGTTGAGCAGGATGTGTCTCTCTGTCTTACAACAATGAATGTTGTCTCGCTATATACGAATATTCCCCATAAGAAAGGTTTGAAGGCTATGAAGTTTTTCTTGGAGCAAAGGAATGAGAAATCTCCTCCTTCCGAGTTTGTATTGGATATGATTTAATTGCTTTTAGAAAAAAAAACGATTACATTTTTTGAGGATGAATATTTCTAACAGAAACAGGGCGCTGCTATGGGCTCTAAGTTTTCTCCTGATTATGCGTGCCTATTTATGGGCTGTTTGGAAGAGAGATACATATGGGATAATAATCCGTTTCTAAGTAACATCGTGTTGTGGAAAAGATAACATATCTTTGACATATTCTGTATTTTTAACGGTTCTTGGAACATGCTTGATAATTTTATCTTGCATCTTAACAATATGGTGGATTCGATCAAATTTAATGTAGAAGTGGATACCTGTTCAGTATCTTTTCTTGATACCAAGCCTACTGATAAAAATTTAATTTTGCACTCTACGAGTGCTCATCCAACCTATTTGAAGAAGGCATTGCTTCAACTGCAATTTCTCAGTTTAAAACGAATTTGCACTGAGAATTCTAAATTTGAGAAAAAGATTTGTGAGAATGTATAAACAGTTTACCCTTACGGGTTATCCTAATAAGTGATTGGATGGTGCACTGGAGAGGATTCGAGGGTCTTCTGAAGAAGTAAATGTGCAACATGAAACTTTAACTGATGCACGGATTGGAAATAAAGTAAAATCTAATGCATTTTCGGTTATTTGTACTACAACATATTTGAAACATAGTCGTGAGATTAAGGATGTGATTAAAAAACATTGGCACATCCTAACCAGCGATCCTGTATGTGCACGCCTTTTCTCTGACCCCCCGTTATTCTCGCATTATAGAGCGAAGAACATAAGAGATTATCTTGTAAGATCAGACACTTTTGCGGGTAATAAGAAAAGAGATCGTATTGGTAATGAAGTAGGCTTTTTTTCCTGTCATAAATGTGCTGCTTTTAAATATATACGGAGAAAACAGGTGTCTTTCAAGAGTTGCGTGACAGATCGAGTGTATCGTATTAGACAGTTTACCACTCGTGCATCCACTAATGTCATTTATTTGTTGACTTGTGTGTGTAATAAGCAATTAGCAAATAGATCAAGTATTATTGAACACATGAGCTCCATTAGGAGAAAGGATATAAAATCTCCAGTAGCTCGTCATTTTGATGAAGCGGCACATTCCATATCGGACTTGGATTTTACGGTAATAGAACATACCACAGCTTCGAAGGGGTGGTGACATGGAATGCCAACTTTTACAAAGAGAATGCAAATGGATTTTTGATTTGAATTGGTTTTGAATTGTTTTTTGTAATGTATGTACAGTATATAAGAAACATTTATAAGATTTATGGGTAAAATTATGAATAAGAAATTCCATGGTGAATATTGATGTTTTAATGTGTGCAGATGTGCACTAATCAATGTGGCACTGAGGAAGAGCTTTGTCTCGAAAACATATTGCACCTTTGTACACCTTTTGTACTTTTTGCACTTGTTTTTTTTTGGCCTCTGATGAAGCATTGAATACAGATTTTTTGAGGAGGTGTAAGCCCTGCATATAACCGTGTGCGGATTTTAATTTTTGCTGGCTAACAAAGATATTAGACATGTCTTTCATGAAAAAAAGAGAGTTATTCCAAGAGAGAAATTTTATTGTAATTCCATCCTAGATTCCATTGGAGAAAAGCATGGCTTTTACCTTACAAATTTTGTATTTCAAATAAGGTAAGAAAAATTCACCTGAAGATTTTACACAAAATATATCCAACTAATATGTTGCTGTCTAACTTTTCTCTACGCTGTTTTTGTAACAGTTGTGAGGGGTTGGCAGAGTGTACAATCATTTTGGAAAGATTGTTTCTCTGCTTTTTCAGTTAAAATTAGTTACACATCCTTAAAATCCAAATTGACATCATCAAAAATGTCTTGTACCTCTACAACCCCCTCATCATGAACACCAGATCCACTTGCAACAATATTGCAACTAATGCTGTCTTCACTATCATGCACATCAGACCTGATAGCTACTGCACTGCAAGCTACAGTACTAGCATGTACTGTGCTAATAACTGTTGTGCTGCTAGCCATTGTGCTAAGAACTGTCACACTAACAGCTGTTGAGGTAAAAGATGCTGTGCTGTATGGCTCAGAAATCAACCTTTTTTCTTCATTGTCTACAAATGCTGCACTAACAATCATTCCTTGGCACATTTCAACCCTTGGCCTATCCTGACTCAAAATCTTTGACGCCAACTCATCAAACTCATATTTCACACCTCTTTGCAAACTCTGTTCGTCCTTCTAATAAGAAGATGACCAACTTCATCAATGTCGTCTAGGGATGGGAAGTGTGAGTTCGCAAATGGCTAATAAGGCCAATCCTGGCCTGGAAGTGTCTCTGACAAACGGGGCAGATCAAGTGAGCTGGGGTGCTCTCTGTCATTTGATTGCTGCTTACTCTAGCTTTGTGTACTGCTCTTTTTTTCTTTGCAGTTTTGCTGTGCATCTGCTCTAAGACCATGGCCCCATTTAATACAGCAAGGTGCCAGGCTGAGCGATCCGGTGCGAGGTCTACCCAAGTGGAGGGATTGATGCCGAAGTCTTTCATTGAGGCTTTTAGAGTATCTTTAAACCTCTTTTTCTGTCCAACTTGCGAGCGTGCATCTCTTTTCAGCTCTCCATACAGGATGCGTTTTGGTAAACGTTAATTTGGCATTCTCACAATGTGACCAGCCCAGCGGAACTGAGATTTTTGCAACAATGTGGAGATACTGGGCATGCTTTGTCCTTTCAAGTATTTCTGTGTTGGGGAATTTATCCTGCCACCTCACTTTTAACAATTTACGCGGACAGCAGAGATGGAAACAATTCAGCTTCTTTGCATGTCGCTGGTACACTGTCCAAGTTTCAGAGGCATAGAGGAGGGCAGAGAGGACTACTGCTCTGTAAACCTTCAGCTTGGTGGTGAGGCTGATCCCTTTACGCTCCCACACTGATGAACTAAGTCTGCTGAAGGCAGAGCTGACCTGGGCTATTCTGACATCGGCACACATCGTGAGAGGGTGCTCCCTAGGTAGGTAAACTTGTCCACAGCTACCAGTGTCTGGTTGTTCACAGTCACAGCGGGCTCCTGGTATGGGTTTCCTGGGGCAGGCTGATAGATCCCCACAGTCTTCTTTGTGCTGATAGTCAAGCTGAAGTTATTACATGCTGTGGAGAACAGTTCCAGGCTATCTTGCATATCTTGAGCACTTCCTGCATTCAGGGCACAGTCATCAGTAAACAAAAAGTCCGTAGAACTTGATGTCAATGCCAAGGTCGGTGTCCAGAAAGGCATCTGACAGCATTGCAGAGAACATCATGAACAGTGTGGGGGCAAGCACACAGCCTTGCTTCACTCCATTCGTAACTGGGAAGGGAACAGATAGATCTCCATTATCAAGCACATGAGCCTGCATGCCCTCGTGGAATTGTCTTACTATACAGATGAATCTTTCTGGGCAACCAAACTGGCTCATGATCTTCCAGAGCCCCTCACGTCTTTCAGTGTCGAATGCCTTGGTTAGGTCCACAAAGGTCGTATAGAAGTCAACATTTTGCTCCTGGCACTTTTCTTGAAGTTGTCGGGCAGCAAATATCATGTCTACTGTTCCTCGTTCTTTCCTGAATCCACACTGGCTCTCAGGAAGCAGCCCCTGCTCTTGGTGCACCGTAAGGAGGTTCCGAAGAATTCTCGCAAGAATTTTACCTGCAATGCAGAGAAGTGAGATTCCTCTGTGATTTTCACACATCTGTCTGTTTCCTTTACGTTTGTAGAGGTGCACTATGGTGGCATCCTTGAAGTCTTGACGGAGAGTGCCTTGCGCCCACATTGTTTGGAATAGTTCTGTTATAATAATAGTTCAAACTAAGCAGCTGGCAAAACACATCATCCTCTAGAACCTTTTTTTTTTAGTTCCCGCACCAACATCTATTGTGATGTCCACGAACTGCTGACATGACTTTAGATTTTGTACATTTCATCATCCTGAATGGCAAATTCTTCATTCATACATTTTGATTGTCGAAATCACCTCCTTTATACAACGTTTTCTCTAACGAACTTACTCTTTTAATGTAGTCTCTTAAAGTTGTGAAAAACGTAAAAGCTACGTCTATTGTAAGATATTACTAATCTGTCTTCTTTTTTGTTTTGTTTTATTATAATTTTTTATTTTTTTTGTTCTTTAATCATCTTTGGAGCTTCTGTTTTTGATGCCTGTTTTTCTGTCATAGTGTTGCTTACAAGTTCTCTAATAAAAAAAACAAACAAACAAAAAAACATATACTCTCGATTTCTGGTTTTATATTGTGGAAAACTTGGAAACACCAAAGACAAATTTCTATCTGGATACTTTAGATCGGTCATGGGCCCTGTGTCTCACCTGTTTGCCTGCTGAGGCAATATTGTTTAAAAAGTTGCCCTGTGGAACATCACCTTAATAGTTTAATTAGACAGGCGATGAATGCACAGAGTAGCATTATAAAATTATAACAGAAATTTCAACACACTCAAATGTATGTAGTATGATAAAACAGCACTGCTTTACCCCACATACACATGACCGGAAGGAGTGGAAAGCCCAACGTATACTTCGTTTTTGTACGCGTACACTAGCGTATGCTAACAGTCGAACGCATAGCCTTTCGAAGTATACTCCATTTAGTGTTGTGTGAACGCGGGAGGTTGACACATGCACTCTAGAAAGCTTCATCCATGTCCAGTGTCTGCTCTATTTTTCCACATAATTTATGACTGATAACAAATATTTAAAAACTTTTTTAAACCAAAGTCTCATACCCTCTTGCTCACAAGCGCTTGTCAGTGCAGCCGTCTGTTGTTATTGCTGCAGTCTCTGCTATTTTGTTGTTGTTCCCTCTCTTTAGTTTTGTTTTCTACTGTGAAACAATGGCCCCGGGCAGTGTTGCCACCTTGTGGATCAACTGATTACTGCAAAACAAATTTAATGCGCATATGCGACCTGCCTGTACAAAGTACAAAATAGGGTGGTGCGTGTATAGTGCGCACATACTATTCTGATGACCAAATTCGGGTCACGCACTGTACGCTGTTCCTCACGCATGCGTAAAAAGTGAAGCATACTTTGGGCTGAAGCGGTCAACTGTGGCACAATAAAAGCTCCGCTGCTTTTGAGCCTTGTGTCACACTCGTCTCTCATTAGCAATCGCTCTGGCGGCCTAGTTCCTCTTCCATGGCTCTCAGCTCCACCCCGCTTCATACTACAGTGATGTTAATAAATCTTGATAAATACACTAGCTCATCCATGAACATGATTTCTGCTCGAGTCCTGTTGGAATGTATCAGTTGGGGATGAAGACGCCAACTCCCATGATTCCACACTCAATCATGGCGTCATCAAACTATGCCTTTTGTGTCTTTGTTTGTTTTGAATATGTGCCTTCTAGTGGCGAAAATTATATACTGTGGTGAATTTTGAATCGATTTCTTCTTGTAAACTCAGAGATGTGGATTCGGACGGAAATTAAATTACCACACGAACTTGGTGTTTGTCAAAAAAACAGTAGGTAATTCAGCCGGGGATTTTTACACGGATGGTGGGAGAAAAACACAACATTCTGGACTCGTACAGCACTAAAATCACTGACTCACCCCTGTAAATGTTGAAAATAGCTCACATCCCCATGAGAAACATTTGCCGTCTGAATCGGGCTAAAGATGAAGTGAATCACACTGATTATATCATTATAATGCCACTTGTCAAGGTGTGGGATTGCAAGCAAACAGTCAGTGCTTGGATGTCATCTGTTGAAAGCAGGAAAAATGGGCACATGAAAAGATCTGAGTGACTTTGACAAGGGCCAAATAGTGACGATGGCTAGACGACTGGGTCAGAGCATCTCCAAAACGGCTAGTGTTGTGGGGTGCCACACTGCCACACTGCAAAAACTGTTCAGGAATGGATTGAGAAACATGACAAAAAGTTCAAGGTGATGGCTTGGTGAAGAGTTGATGAAGAAATCTGAGTCAGAATAATTTGGAGAAAGTATCGAACACTGCAAGAGCAAGCTGTCCTCTCTGATGAGTCTGATCAGGCTGGAAGTAAAACTCATATCCTATCAATCCAGGAGCATGGTGTTAGCAATGCCACAGTCAGTTTTGATCGCCAGGGAATCCATGTAAAAGCATCTGCCAAATATGAAAATGTAGACCACAAGTTTCGTGATCTCACAAGTCTGCTCTTTCAAGAATTGTGTGTATCTAGGTAGGTGTACTTTCATGTGCGTGCTAGCGTGAAGCCAGACAGAGGTTCACAATTTAATCAATTTAAGTCCCAAAATCAGCTGGAGTTTGATTGCTCTTCAGTGCCAATCACAGGAGGAGAAGGACTATCTGTAACGACCCCAGCAGGATATATCATTCACCTTGCCCCGAATCCCATGCTGTGAACTGACACTGAAAAAATAAAATAAAATAGAAAATAAAAAGTCCACACCCACTGGGCAGTGACATTCCTCTAAAGCTAGCTGAAATGTATTGAATCACACATATTCAGCTCTCAGTCCACAATGATAATATACAGGGCTGCCAACTCATGAGACTCATGCAATTGAAACTTTTCTCACGCTCTCACGCCACACATCCATTTTCTCATGCAGTCAAAAGCACCTTCAGTTAAAACTGTAATGATAGGATATTGGCAAAACAGATTTGGTAAAGGCTCCAGTGCTCATTTGTGTTTGCTCTGTAAATTGCCAAAAAAAAAAGATTCTATTTACAACGTGTTTTCGTAGCGCTGAGCAATGTAGCCAATCGCAGACATATCTGTTGATTTATTGAACACCTGTGATTGGCCATTGCATTCATTCACATCTAAACGCCCGATTTCTTTCCTGAACGCTTGTGAATCCTCTCACTGTAACACGGTGTAAATAAGAGGTTCATTGATTATAAAGGAACTTTGTGTCGGACGGAAATTAAATTACCACACGAACTTGGTGTTTGTCAAAAAAACAGTAGGTAATTCAGCCGGGGATTTTTACACGGATGGTGGGAGAAAAACACAACATTCTGGACTCGTACAGCACTAAAATCACTGACTCACCCCTGTAAATGTTGAAAATAGCTCACATCCCCATGAGAAACATTTGCCGTCTGAATCGGGCTAAAGATGAAGTGAATCACACTGATTATATCATTATAATGCCACTTGTCAAGGTGTGGGATTGCAAGCAAACAGTCAGTGCTTGGATGTCATCTGTTGAAAGCAGGAAAAATGGGCACATGAAAAGATCTGAGTGACTTTGACAAGGGCCAAATAGTGACGATGGCTAGACGACTGGGTCAGAGCATCTCCAAAACGGCTAGTGTTGTGGGGTGCCACACTGCCACACTGCAAAAACTGTTCAGGAATGGATTGAGAAACATGACAAAAAGTTCAAGGTGATGGCTTGGTGAAGAGTTGATGAAGAAATCTGAGTCAGAATAATTTGGAGAAAGTATCGAACACTGCAAGAGCAAGCTGTCCTCTCTGATGAGTCTGATCAGGCTGGAAGTAAAACTCATATCCTATCAATCCAGGAGCATGGTGTTAGCAATGCCACAGTCAGTTTTGATCGCCAGGGAATCCATGTAAAAGCATCTGCCAAATATGAAAATGTAGACCACAAGTTTCGTGATCTCACAAGTCTGCTCTTTCAAGAATTGTGTGTATCTAGGTAGGTGTACTTTCATGTGCGTGCTAGCGTGAAGCCAGACAGAGGTTCACAATTTAATCAATTTAAGTCCCAAAATCAGCTGGAGTTTGATTGCTCTTCAGTGCCAATCACAGGAGGAGAAGGACTATCTGTAACGACCCCAGCAGGATATATCATTCACCTTGCCCCGAATCCCATGCTGTGAACTGACACTGAAAAAATAAAATAAAATAGAAAATAAAAAGTCCACACCCACTGGGCAGTGACATTCCTCTAAAGCTAGCTGAAATGTATTGAATCACACATATTCAGCTCTCAGTCCACAATGATAATATACAGGGCTGCCAACTCATGAGACTCATGCAATTGAAACTTTTCTCACGCTCTCACGCCACACATCCATTTTCTCATGCAGTCAAAAGCACCTTCAGTTAAAACTGTAATGATAGGATATTGGCAAAACAGATTTGGTAAAGGCTCCAGTGCTCATTTGTGTTTGCTCTGTAAATTGCCAAAAAAAAAAGATTCTATTTACAACGTGTTTTCGTAGCGCTGAGCAATGTAGCCAATCGCAGACATATCTGTTGATTTATTGAACACCTGTGATTGGCCATTGCATTCATTCACATCTAAACGCCCGATTTCTTTCCTGAACGCTTGTGAATCCTCTCACTGTAACACGGTGTAAATAAGAGGTTCATTGATTATAAAGGAACTTTGTGATAAACTGAAGTAAGTGACACCTTTTTAGTGATTATAAAGTAAGGGCTATTTGCACACTTTCTAGGCTAAATAGGGCTTATAATCCATTCACAATTGAAATAAAAGTTTTGTTTTTTGTGCTGCTAGAGGCCATATACCCTATACAAGCAGCAAAGTTGTGGGAGTGACGTAGGCTATAAATCCCATATGAATGCGGGATTCATTTTTGAATGGGAGAAAAATATAATTTCTCAAAACAGATGTTCAAGAAATGCAGACTAATAGATGAATAGAAAAATATTTGAATTTCATGTCAAAATATTTTTTAAATGCGGTTGCATTTTTTTTATAAAAATAGCTAATGACTAGTAAATCTTGCAATTCTTTCACTGTACATTGCTATTCTTTTTGTTGTAAAAAGTTAATAGTTTTGCACCACAGCAACCAGTTATTTTATATGATTCTATGATAAAAACAAATGACATGTCCAGATGTCAGACAAAATTCTGCTGACAGGTGTTTTCTATATTTAAATAGAAGGCGGGAGGTGATATGCTTTGAGGTCAAATAAAGATGTATAAAATTTTCCACTAATAATACAATGCCAAGATAAGGCAATTAAATAAAATAAACTATTAAATAAAAGTGTAATTGACAGTAGTCTACCAGGGCTCCAGACTGCTAAAAGAGAGCTAAAAGTGAATGTATCTACTACACTGACCAGTTGTGATCACGAGACCACTAAACAGCGCAGTGAGATAGTGATCGAGCTCGAGTTCAGCACAGAGTTCTCCAGGACAAATCACATAGGCAGGGCCACATTAAGACTGCACTGGGCCCCGGGGCTATGACTTACTGCAGGGCCCCCCTTCACAATAATGACATATATGCTTTAAATAGGATTTTTATCCCATATCAAAATTCTTGATGCACTGAAATTTCATAATTTTTGTTACCAATTTCAATATCACAAAAAATAATACTAGCCTAAGTAAAAATAAACTTACTGAAGACAAGTAAACAGTCATAAATTAGGCTACAACAGAACAAAGATCATAAGAAATCAACCTACTTGAAAAACTTAAAGCACTGAATAATATTATGATGTATAAAGAAAATGTACAAATAGACTGAATGGTCTCCAATGTATATATTCAATATACATTCATTCTTATTTATTTTACAAAAGTGATTCAGTCAAGGACAGTAAGTGATTTTCTTTCTGATGTTTGATTTACATTATGGCAACAGCAGCTATATTAGGCTGCGTTAGA